TAGGTGCAGGTCTCAGACTAGGTGCAGGTCTCAGACTAGGTGCAGGTGGAGCTGATCAGGTGATCAGAGCTGTGGAACAAGGTGCTTCCTGGAGGCACATCAGAAGTTGTGAGACATTTTGGAGACTCCAGAGTCTGAATCTTTGAAACTTTGACTAAAGTGACGCGGGGTCTTGATGTCAACAGTTTGGGACAAAGACTGTCTTTAAAGCAGAGACCTTTGTTTGTCTCTCTTTAAGTCAGACACTCAGTTTCTCCCTGAGCAGCAACAGTTCTTTAGTTTCTTGCATGAGGATTCTTGTTGTGTTGATGAAGTTTTAATTTTCTCTCAAACCAGTCACAGAGTAGTTGCAGCGGTCCTGTATGAAAGTCTTCTCAATACATTTCCTGTAATTTTAGAACACCACATGTGTTTTGCTAATACGGATGCAAACCGCTTCATCCCCCTTCAGAGTAATTCAGTGCGTCTCCCCCGAGAGGCTGACAACAGTTTCTAACACTCAACTGAACAACGTATGAAATTAAAGAAACATGACTGAAAAATAGGAACAGCTGCAAACGTTTCCATGTACTTTCATCCATCCATTTTCTTTACCCCGTTTTCCAAGTCATGCCCTGCAGTCGCCGCGTGTGAGGTGGGGGACACCGTGGACATGTCCCCAGTCCATCACAGGGACACATAGAGACAAACTACCATTCGCTCTCTCTCTCACCTAGAGACAATTCAGAGTTACCAGTCAGCCTAACATGCATGTTTTTGGTCTGTGGGAGGAAACCAGAGCACCTGGAGAAAACCCACTCAGCACGGAGAGAACATGCAAACTCCACCCAGAAAGGCCCCGGGCTGGATGTGTACCGTGGCGACCTGCTCACTGAGAGGCAGCAGCTCTAACAACTGAGCCACCGTGCTGCCTGCAGATGGTTTCAATAAGAAAATAATAATTTTTTACAGCTTAGTCTCATAAAATATCACAAAGCTCCTGAACCAAGAGCAGCACAAGAAGCAGATGCAGCTGATTGAACCGGTTTTTGTGAAAGTGCCACCTTGTGGCAGCTCTATGCTATGACAGCATTTTTCTAGATTTATTTATTAGTTTATTGAATAAAAATGTTTTTAATGACAATATTAGAGAGTCAGAGTTTCTTTATTGTTGTTCCACCACATGTGGTACATGTGGTGGAACAACAATATGTACACAGGGTCCCAGTTACATCCAACAATAAGATGTAAAAGAAAAACAGTGATAAGATCTAAGATATGAACTAAGAAAAACAAACTAAATATACACTAAGTACTAACATCATAAAAACATTAAAAACATTACGTCAAACAGCAGCACGAACATGAGTCTGTGAGTAGATGAGCACGAATGAACACAGCAACATGAAACAGATCAGCAGCAACATGAAACAGATCAGCAGCAACATGAAACAGATCAGCAGCAACATGAAACGGATCAAAAAAGTTAAATCTGGTCCTCTGGACATTCAAAAAAAACAAAACAAAGCAAATCAACAAAAAATGTAGAAACGTTTTGTCTCTCATCTGAGAGACTTCCTCAGTCTGAGGAAGTCTCTCAGATGAGAGACGAAACGTTTCTACATTTTTTTGTTTTCAAGGATTACAGTAATAAATACATCTGTAAATACAGTTATGAGTCATGATGAAGGAAACCTACAACCATGGTCAAGTGCATATTTTATTAAATAAAGAATAAATTACAATAATAAGACACTAATGTATAAATAACACTGGAAATTATGCTTCACAGCAACATTTAAATGGAAGTAGTCATTAAATAAATCAAGCAGCTTGACTGAGCTGCGTGGCGGGCCATGGCTTCGTTTTCTGTAGTAACACACACGTGGTTAGTTTTCACGTCACACATCCAGAAGTTTTACTGTGAATGTTTCAGTGAAGTCGCAGGAGGATCGATACAAGCTCTCACACAGATACACAGAGCGAAGCTGCTCCTGCACCTCTGCTTCTGTTCACTGAGCTAAAACTGCCGCAGCACCACTCCCAGGCGCCTTACTTCCTGTCACTCAAACAATCAGACACTTCATACTTTACATGTATTTTTATACATTTATAAATGTTGGATTCCTGAAGAAAACCTGGTAAACATGATTAAAGCTGGAGCGCACAGCACGTGGCTAACAAATCTAAAGTTGTATTTAGTAAATGGCCAAGCTCCGAAGCTGGGGAGACATCGCTGCCCCGACAGCTTTAAGAAAGAACTCAAAGCCCAGCTCTTTAAAATGACTTGATGTTTAAATCTGCCCTTTGAAATGTTTTGTTGCGTTTTTATGAGTCGTGATTCATTGTTGAGTTTATATATTTTTATCTCATGCAAAGCGTCTATGAGAATTTAGAAAAGCACTATACAAATAAAATGTATTATTATTATAAACTCAACATGAAGAGATATGTTGGCGAACTGTAAACCAGAGGTGCGTGACAAGTCGAAGGTGATCTACTGGTGAATCTCCATCTACTGGTGGATCCAAAAGTCTTCTGGGTAGATGCCTTGAAACCAGACGTCAGCCGATCATCATCCATGAAGTTTGTCTCTTGATTGACGGACAGGGCAGCCAGTCTGAGCCTCGTTTACACGACGTGAAACATTCATTTACAGACAACATCCTCATCCTCTCTGAGACTGAAGGTTTCTGAGTCCAGGTCTCAGAGAGGAGGTTTTCAGGGAACCCCCCACGGAGGAGTGAAAAAAGTAGCACATGCACACTCCAGGTGGCTGCAGTCCAAAGTTTTTCTAAACTAATAAACTCCAGGCTCCAAAGAGACGTTAGTGTATTCACCAGTAACTAACTAACTGGGCTAACTGTCATGCAGACGCTGCATGCACCATGAATGCACTGAGCATCAGGGTTGCCAGATAAATGTAAAATGTGTTATTTACCCCCTCCTTTTCTGTGCACATGTTCAACAAACACACACCTCATCTTAGAACATCTTTACTCAGCACATCTGACAGTTTAGGTCAAAATACTATCATTTTAGAGCCACAGTTCATCATTGCTTATCTGGCAACCCGACTGACATGGAAACTACAATGTTTTCATGTAAACCTCTCATTTTTTGTTTATTACGCCCAATAAACATTGAAAAAACACTAAAGTTTCCAGAGGCTGTTCTGTGTAAACAGGGCCTTGTAGCAGGTAGATCACTTTGACTTGGTCATTGTAAAAGGAGCTCCATGATGAAAACATCTGGATATCCCTGATGTAAACCTTCTCAGGTGCTAAGAATGAATTTAACAGATGATTAAAAAAAATATGCAGTAATTTCTTTAACGTTGCAGAACGCTGCCAAGTGACGAGTGGCAGGAGTTATTTCTTAAAATGGCACCATGAATATTTGAATTCAGTTCTGTAACACGCCTGCCAGCTGTTCCCTCGCAACTAGTCGTGTCAGATTTATAGAAACAAAAAAGGATTTCTTGTCCTGGAAATGATTCTTTCAGAAAAGCTGCTGAAGAGTCAAAAAAGAAGCTGCGCAGAAATAAAAGTTCTCGTCTCTTCACCGTCTACCTGGACCTGATTTGTGCACAGAACGCACGCAGTGATTCAGACTGAACGCTCACTCGTGCTGCATTCACTGCACCTTCAAATTAGGACAATCGGTCAAGTTTGCTTTTAATATTTTCCTTTGCAATTTACTCTAAATTATCATTAGAAGTTGCATATTCACTTAACTGAGCTAATAACATCGTTCTAGTCCTTATTTTCACATTTGATTTCTTCAAGCCTAAAGAAAACAGGACTGACCCAAATGAAGCGTGTGGTTTATGGAGATGAACAATTTGTCGTTATGGAGGTTTAAACGATGCAGTCGGCCTTTAGAACAATGAGGTTCTTCAAAGGTTCGGATGAAGATGGGAGCCGAGTCTCTTCACACCAGCCTTAAAGAGGAAGAAGCTCTCCCAGAGGATTTGGTTCAATCATGATTTCTTGTCCAAAGCCGACAAGGTTTCATAAAAATGTCTGAAAATTGTGTCAGCTTGGGGACACAAGCAGAAATTGTGTCTCTTTTGTTTTTTAAATAAACACGATATGTTTCTGACATTTGCTGGACGGCTGTAGACGAACATTAACGTACGAGTTTCACTGAAGACAAGTTTGAAATGATTTCCTTTGAGCTTCGTCAAGCGTTTTCTGGACAAACCCACGGTCTACAGGTTGCTCTCCTGGGTGTCAGAGGAGATGGGGTGCAGACCTCCGTTCTCGTTCAGTCTCTTGGCTCGGTACGTTTCGTAGTGGATGTTGTGGGTAACCTCCTTTAAATCCTGGAGGTGAGACCTGCAAAAAAGGATAAGAAAAAGTCAAAGTTTATTAATCTGGAAACAACTTTCAAACATCAGAATAACTCTATCTTCAGTTTCATGAAACGCTCAAAGATGTCAGAATGTAGGGGTAACGTGTCAGGTGATCAAACATACAGTTTATTGATTTATTGAACGCTGCGATTAAATAAATAGAAAAACATTTTTAATTTTTTATTTAACCTTTATTTTACCAGGATGAAAATAAAACATTGAGATTAAAAACCTCTTTTTCAAGGGAGACCTGGCCAAGAGGCAGCAACAAATACAACACAAAGAATTACACAGTTAAAAGAAAATGTCAAGCTGTAAAGAACACGTACTATGAAACAAGCTGGATATAAAAACACGTATTATGAAACAAGCTGGATATAAAAACACGTACTATGAAACAAGCTGTAAAATTTTTTCATTTACCTTTATTTATACAGGTAGTCTCATTGAGCCACGAGAACTCATTTTCAAGAGAGACCTGTTTAGGGAGAAGATGGTGGGAGTTAAGGGCCTTGCTCATGGGCCCAGAGTGGGGCGAATGAGGGTGGGGGCATGTGTGGGTACTTCACCTACCCCACCCACATTTTTGATGTTGTCGGTACCGGGGCTTGAACCGGCGATCTTCTGATCACAGGCCCACCTTCTCTAACCTTTGTGCCACCATTCCCCCTGACACATACTATGAAACAAGCTGGATATAAAAACATGTATTATGAAAACATGTACTATAAAACAAGCTGTAAAAAACACGTACTATAAAACAAGCTGTAAAAAACACGTACTATGAAACAAGCT